AAGTTTATGAAAATTGGATTAGGGTGTCATTTTATCACACTATTCAGTAATTACTATATATACTCTCTATTATCTTTATTTAAGCAGGGGAAGAGGTCAAAGTTCTAGAATGTTTATTCTTGACTTTAGAATGCACTGAATAAAAATCTTACCAATGAGGGAAATGAACCTAAGTTAAAGACACAAATTTTTCTCCTTTTAAATACTTTATTTTTTGTAGGGAAGATTTAGGTTCACAGTAAAATTGAGCAAAAAGTACATAAGAGCTCAACCACCCTCCTCCTCTCCTAGCTACATCCTGTGACAGCACCGTACATTTGTTATAACTGATGAACCTACATATCATTATCACCCAAAATCCATGTTTACATTAGGGTTCACTGTTGATGATTTATAAACTGTAGGTTTGGACAAATGTATATAGACATATATTCCCAATGACAGTAGTTACACTGCCCCCCAAAATCCTATGTTCTATCTATTGATCCCTCCCCTTTCCCCCAACTCCTAATCTCTTAAATGTATTCACTGCTTATCTTTTCCAGAATATCATATAGTTGAAATCATTCAATATTCAGCCTTTTCAGATTGACTACTTTCCCTTAGTAAAATGCATTTAAGGTTCTTCCACATCATTTCATGACTTGATGGCTTATTTATTTTTAATATTAAATAATATTCTATTGTCTGGATTTATTTATCCATTCACTGACTGATAGGTATCTTAGATATTTCCAAATTTTGGCAATTATAAACAAAAGCTACTATAGGCATTGTATTCATGTTTTCATAAGGATGTAAGTTTTCAACTCATTTGGGCAAATCCCAAGAAGTTCAACTGCTGGATTGTATGATAAGAGTATGTTTAGTTTTTTTAAGAAGACACTAAATAGTATTCCAAAGTGTCTATACCATTTTGGCATTCCGACCAGAAATGAATGGGAATTCCTGTTGCTTCACATCCTCACCAGCATTTTGTATTACACTGTCAGTGTTCTGGATTTTGGTCATCCTAAGCAGTCATGTAGGGGTGTCTTGTTTGAATTTGTTTCCCTAATAAAATATGGTGAGGAGTACAGTTATCTTTTGAAACCATGGAACTAATCTTGTTAAGAAGTTCTTAGCTCAAGGTTTCACGATACCATCCACTCTATAGAATAACATTCAGGGTGGATATGGTGGCATGCATCTGTATCCCCCACTACTCAGAAGACTGAGGCAGGAGGATCTCAAGTTCAAGGCCAATCTTGCCACTATTACCAGACCCTGTGTCAAAATAAAAAAAATAAATAAAAATGGCTGGAGATGTAGCTCCATGGTAAAGTGCTCCTCAATTTAATCCCTAGTACCCAGGGAGGGTTAGATAGGCATCGGAAAACATTCAGACTTTCTAGAAAGGCTCTTAAGATCTCACCTTCTAACCCCTTTTTATTTATCTGCATATTTCACCCAAAACCCTTTGATAATTTATCCTCTAATCATTTCTACCTCCAGCTTTGGAACATACCAGCTTCTATCTTTGCACCTGTTCTGCTCTGTTCACTGTCTACATACACACAACTACCTGATAAGGACCTAATCAGCTCCAGGGGCTGTGGATATATCTCAAGGACCATACTGCTGGCAGCTGGAAGTTTGCTGGGGCCCCCCCACAGGTGCAAAGGCCTATCCACAAGTATGGCTGTATGCTGGACCGGTAGTCAGTGACGGGTATGATCCAATTGCAGTGGTACCAACCTAAGACAGGAGGCTGACGCCTAGAGGTCAGTTCATCCGATGACGGGTAAGGACCATATGTTGAATTGGACTGCCTAACAGGCACTGTCCCTAAGCCACATGCTTGTTGTTTAAACAGAGAGGGGGAGATGTTGAGAGCCACAGCCAAAGGGGCCCCAGCAAACTTCCAGCTGCCAGCACCATACATCTCAAGGAGGCTCTGGGTTTAATTCACAATGCCACCCAAAATAAATGAATAAATTTAGCTCTAACAACCTATCCCACAAAACCTTTTTTTTAATTTTTTTTTAGTTGTTGATGGACCTTTATTTATTTATTAATTTATATGTGGTGTTTAGAATCGAACCCAGTACCTCACCCATGCCAGGCAAACGCTCTACCACTAAGCCACAACCCTCAGCCCCCACAAAATCTTTTATATCTAGTCTTGTTTTCCTTTTATTTATTTATTTAGTTATTTATTTGAACTGGGGATTGAACTCTTGAGGTGCCACATCCCCAACCCTTTTCTTTGTTTTTTGACATAGGGTCTCACTAAACTGCTCAGAGCCTTCATTTTTGCTGAGGCTGTCCTCAAACTATCGATCCTCCTGCCTCAGGCTCCTGAGTCACTGGGATTACAGGCAAGTGCCACCATGCCCAGTTCTATTCTCCTTTGCCCCACTACCTATATCATGTATTACACATAACAATTTTATTGTTTACATGGCTTTCTTGCCCTTCTAAACTATAAGCTATTTAAGGGAGGAAAGACATTTGATTTACTTTTCCATCGTCTAGCAGTGTTTTTCACATATTGGTACTCACTGAAAGTTTGTTGAATTAAAGAATAAGAAAAAACTTCCTCAATTGATGCTTAAAAAAAACTGTGATATACATAAAGCATTATTTTGTCCTAAAGAGAGGAAGATTGATTATGCTCCAAAAGTTTGAAGGGACAATGGTTTCCCATGGAAATGATGACCAACTCCAACAAAATATACCCAACTCATGACAGACATGCATATATATGTATTTTGTTATAGTGTGAGCTTTCATAATACTAAAAGGAAATTAATTTAGTTTACTAAGGAACCTGCATTGCATTGTGCAAATTGCTAATGCTCCTAAAGAAATGGCATCACAGGAAGAAAAGTTGTTGCTGCCATATATATATATATATATGTATGTGTATATATATATATATATATATATACACACACACACATACATATATATGTGTGTATATATATATATACATATATATATACATATAAATATACACATATGTATATAAATACACACACACACACACACACACACACACACTAGTTAACAACAACAAAAAAACATAAATAGAAGAAGACCAGTAGAGTAGAGGAAGGAAACAGGAGAGGGAGAAAGGGAGAGTAAGAGAAAAGTACTAGGGACTAGGACTGAAGTGGAGGAAATTATATTCCATGTGTGTATGACTATGTCAAAACAAACTCCAATATTACGTATAACTATGATGCATCAATTAAAAAAAAGAAAAAGGTAGAGAAAATGTCTACAGGAAAAATGACTTTATATGGCGCTCTAGAACCTTAATCCATTTTCTTTCCCTTAAAATGAGATTTTGGTTCTTAAAAACATACTTATCAGCAGGGTGTGGTGGCACAAAACTGTAATCCGTTGGCTTGGGAGGCTGAGGCAGGAGAATCACAATTTCAAAGCCAGCCTCAGCAACCCAGTAAGGCCCTAAGCAACCCAGCAAAATCCTGTCTCAAAATAAAATACAAAAAGGGCTGGGGATGTGGCTCAGTGATTAAGTGCCCCTGGGTTCAATCCCGAGTACCAAAACAAACAAAAACATACTTAGAGTGTACTACAGAATGATCAGTGTCTGTTAACTCAAGGTCAACAACACTCGGCCTACAAAGTAGCAGCTCTGGCAACATAAGTCAGGTATGCTGAAAGGAACATTACAGAAAGACAGGGATGGGTGAGCAGTGCCTATCCAGGGAATTTAGATACACAGGATATATAAGGAGCATTTCTTTCAGCACAGTGCTTTTGCATAGCAGTACCCTGAAAATAATAATCTGGAAGTCCTTCATCCAGAAGGAGAATGCATAGTAACTGTAGATGAGAAGAAAAATAGCAATAAAGTACAACATTGATTATGCTGAAACTTTCATGGTAAGTTTAGACCCGGTCAATGGAATTATTTGTAATATACAAAAAGAACTAAGGATAGTAACCTCAATTGAAAATGCTTCCTCTAGAAAATAGTCATACTAAAGTTTAATTAGAAGAAACAGTGAAAATTGAATAGAGAGAAATGATAGGAGAGGAGGGGAGGAGTATGGGGGATAGAAGGGCAGCAGAAGAGAATAGACATTATGATTGATGTATGTATATAGGTGACTCTATGACCAGTGTGATTCTGCAATCTGTACAATTAGAAAAATGAGAAATTATACCCCAATGATACAAATGTATGAATTGCCAAGATCATTGTAATGTCATGTGTAGATAATAAAAAAATTTAAAAACTTTAAAAAAAATAAAGAAAATAAACAAAAAGAAACACAGTGAAAACATGTAACCTGGTTAAACCAGATTAGACTAGAAGAGCAAATGAAAAGATTAGTGGGCCAAAGACCTAGCCAGTACTAAAATCTGAGTCCACAGAGGACTTCTCCATACAGTCATGTGTGGCTAAGCATATTGGGGGCCACATTATGTTGGAAAAGGAGGGGTGCAATGAAGACTCAAAGGTGGTAAATGATGCAAGAAGAGCTTTAAAAATAGAAAAGAAAGGAGGCAGGTAGAGAAAGAGGTGTTTCCAGAATTTTTACAAATAATTAGAAAAACATACCTAGCTATTAAGAGCAATGACATCGACGCAATTTCTAAATAAATTCTCCAAAACATGTCATCTTTTCTGAAAAAGTTCTGAAAACAACATCCAAACATGAAAGGGAAGTTAAAGATACACAGGCAATAATGGCACTGGCTTATCACCTAAAAGCAGTTACTTTTTAAACTTTCCTCCCAACTTAAAGGTATCCATGATGTGATGTGGACATTAATTACAGACCCAGATCTGTATTTACTGATATGAAAAAAACATCCGTAACGTTTTAAATGCAAGCTACAAAATTACATCAACCCTATCATACATCTGTAACTTAAATTCCAGCCTGGAGTCGACTGGCCAATGGGCCTAGGAAATAACTTCAGTGTTTGCGCCTATGCAAGCTTTCAATAAACATACGCGCTACACGCTCACAAATCACCTGCGCAGCCCTTGCTCCTCGATGCTACCCAGATGCCCCGGCCTCAATCTGGAGGGCGGTGGCCGTGCTCCCCGTGGGAACAGCGACTCGGAGAACAGCACCCGCTTGGGGCAGGTCAGCTGGGAGGCCCGCTTCAGCCAGCGGAGGGACCCACCCGCGAGACTGTGTCCTGCGCAAAGGCGGCCCCCCGCGCCGGTCCCGGGGAAGCGGCGGCGGCTGGAGTCGGGCAGCAGAGCTAGGGCTGCGGAAGGGGCGCGGCCCGGCTGCCTGGCGCGCTGCTCCAGCCCCGCGAAGGGCGGCTGCGGCGCGCCCCAGCTCAGCGGCCCGCGGCCCAGGGCGCCCTCCCCATCCAGCACGCTCGCTCGCTCGCTCGCCCGCTCGCCCTCACCGGCTGTCTGGTCCGTTTGCTCGCTCGCACGCAGGTCGACGAAGACTTTAGGCTCCGCTAGCGTAGCCGCAGCAGTCGCAGACCTGCAACGCTCCGCGACCACCGCGGCCCCGCCCTTTGTGACACCGTCTGCCAATCGCTCGCCGGCGCTCAAGCAGCCCTCCAATCAGCGAGGAAGGGGGTGGGGCCTTGCCGCCCAACTCGGCGGTTGCTCGGACGCCTGAGGCTTGGCGTTCGGCGACGATTGTCGGCTAGGAGAGACCCGGATGTTGAGCTTCATTACTAACAACAGTAAACACCTGACTAGGGCTCAAGCCAGCAACTGGCCACTAGCCACACCGTCCGCAGCGAGAGGCGGGCTTGCAGCCTGCATGGAGCGGGGCCTTGGAGCGCCTTCCCTGGGACCCCCCCCCCCATGGCCCTCTGGCGATAGGTGGGTCCCGGGCATGCACTGTCCAGTGGGTGGCTTTTCCAGAGCCTGGGACACTCCTAGGGCGTCCTGGACGTTAAACAAATCTTCCTTTCACCTCACCGCTTCCTAACATTCCTGGCCTCAATTGCCTCATCTGAAAAATGGGGACATTACCGTGTCTGGCTGAAGGGGGAAAGCAGATCTTTCTGTAGTTCTCGTTCATTTACAGCTCATCCACCTTGGGAAGGTTGTAGACCAGAAAAAGTGGGCAGTGTGAGTTCCAAATCCCAGCCACCCTTTTTTCCTCTTCATTTCCAGCTGCTGAGCTGGGGTGTAAATAGTAACCGGCTTCAAGACAACGTGAGCCTTCGAGCCCAACATTGGCCACACTGCTTCATTCTCTACATAGGATAGGCTGTTCCTACAAAACTAGCAGCCTCACTCACCTACTTCACTAGGTGGATTCTTCAACTGACAATTAAATAATCTTACTCCCACTCTGGTTCACTCATCCTCAGTTTATGACTCAGGAACCAGCCTAGGATGAATCCAACATCTAATCAGTCTCCATATTGTCTTCTTCTCTAAAACTGAGTCCCTACCCACCAATCTCCACAACCCACCAAACTACCGATAATACACTAGGGTGTGTATGGTAAGGCCCTTGACTTCATTTGTTGTCCTCTTCTTACCATTGGTTAGTTCCTTAAGCTCTACACTTGCTTAATGCTGAGTAGGATGAAACTGCTTGCAGACAGACATGATGGTAAATTATCTTCATACACAGAACCAAGTACTAGTGCCTGTGATAAGAGACTTAATTTAAGTAACGAATTGTGTTTCTCAACCCTAAGCCCCAATTCACAGAATTGACAGCATAGGCTTTGGAGTCAGGCAGATGAGTTCAGTCTTGGTTTCCAATACTGGAAGCTCCATCTGATCAAGTCATTCTGATCCTCATGTGCTATTTTGCAAGTGCTACATAGTTACAAGAGTCTTTACATATTGTCTCCTTCATCATAATCCTGAAAAGTTGGTATAAAGCTAAGGAAGGTAACACAATTAAACAGCTCTAAGTGCAAGAGCCAAATGTGAATCTCAGATAAAATTTAAAATCCAATCTTGTTCCACTATTCCACATTTCTCCCAGATTTTAGTCTTTATCCATGAAATTAGGACATTACTGATCCAGTAGTGCCGCAGTCTGGCTGGGCACAATCAGGAGCCACTTGTCAAAAGAAACTAACTTTATTTTTAGAACCACACACGCCAAACAAAATAGCCTCTCAGGAAAAACCCTCAGAGCCTCAACTGCCACCACCGGCTTTCCACAAGCCTCTCTCTCCCACACAAGCTTCTCTCCACCTCCCACAATCCTCCTGCTCTTGAGGCCGATTGGCTGGGTCATGTGGGCGGAGCCAAAAAAGTCCCCCAATGAGCAGCTCCGTGGTCTGAAAGGGCAGGGAAACAGCCCAATGAGCATCACCGCAGAGGAGCCAATCAGCTAGATGTTGCTGGGGCCGAGGAGCCAATCAGCTAGATGTTGCTCGGGCGCTGTGAGCCAATCATCAGCCCGCAGCTGGAAGTTTGCTGGCAGCTGGAAGTTTGCTGGGGCCCCTTTGGCTGTGGCTCTCAACACAGTAGTACATGAAGACTAAATAAAATAGCATGAAAAGTGCCTGCTATAGGAATTCTTTTTTTTCCTATGATTTCATGAATCCCTAAAATCAGTCCTGATAATGAATAGATCTGGTGACAAATCTTGCTGAGTCAGATCCCACACTGGGCTTGAACTCAGAGCAGGAAACTGAATATATAACCTAAAGAATAGAAAGGAAATTAATAAAAGGGATAGGAGAAGGCAATTGCTAAGTGCCCTCTTCTGCCATCAAACAATTCTCAGAGCAGGACACACTGCTGACCTGTGAGACCCATACAAAATCTTTGGCTGTGGGTATGAGGAACTCCCAATCCAAGGTCTTGCTAGGTTGTGAAAGCTGGCCTTGAACTTGTGATCCGTCTGCCTCAGCATCCCAAAGTAGCTGGGATTATAATCATGCACAACTGTGCCCAGTTTCCCAGTCCAATCTTAACTTGTCCAAGGAAGTTGCTAATGGCTTTAGGATCTGTGAGGCCTGGCTAGCCTACAAGATCATGCCAGATACGGCACAGCACTGGAAAAGATAGCTAGTAGGTGGGAAGGTAAGCCATTCATGTGGCAAGTGGCTACCATACTGGCCAATAGAGACACAGAACACATCCATCAATGCAGAATTCTGCAGGACACTGCTGCTCGGAAGGCTGACATTTCCATTTAAGTATGTGTCTCTGCTAATATTACCTGGGTTCATCCCGCTGACTCCATAAGAAAATGCAAAGCTCCAAGGATGGAAATGGATGACTAAAAGCAAAGTCAGCAAACTGTTTCTGTAAAGGGGCAAATAAACATTTTAAGCTCTGTGGACCATCCAGTCACTGTTGCAACTACTCAATGCTAGCATTGTAGGGAGGTTGAATGTAGCCATAGACAATATGTAAACAGATATGGCTGTTTTCCAGTAAAATTTCACAAAACCAGATGATTGGTGTCCATAGCTTGCCAAATGTTTCCTTAAAGGACCTGTACAGGAATTTTTGGAATTCAGTGGACACCTCTGAAGCTAAGACTCATGAAGTATATCTCATTCTCCTTTCTCTTCTACCAAGGCCTTTCCTAAGCTAGGACTTCCTGCCATGTAACAAAGGACTTAGGTCCTCTGTATAGCATTTGCCACCTCCAGATTCCCTACAGATTATGAAAGCCACAAATATATTTCTCCTCTAACATGCCCTAATCTTATTATGACCCTACTAAGGCTAATTAAATAAAACACACCAACCTCCATGAAACATTTATTTGTTTTACAGTATTAAGCATGGTTAAAATCAGTGCAGAAAATATCAAGTACATTGGGTAAATGGTGAGCTAGCTGTTTCAGTGTTTGCTTTGTGTAATCAGGTTAAAATAATAAGCATTAAGACAGCATCATTTACTGAAGAACACAGCTAAAGGGTGAGATATGGATACCCTGTATGCTTTACTGGCCTCCAAAGGCATTCAGGGGATCATCAAATATGTTAGACCCCTTGTGTTCAGATCTTGGATCAGATGCCACCTGTGCAGATCGGCTTTTTGGTTTGATTTTCTTAGCCTGGACACCGGAGGAGAATATATCATCTTTGAAAAAAGAAAGAAAAAGATTTGCTGAACAAGCGAGAAAATGGGTGATTTTAAGACACATTCACACAAACCACCAAAGAACCATTTCTGGTAATAGTATAGGGTATCAAGAAACAAAGAAGTCAAGCCTCTTATAGTTCTGGTTTAGTTATTAATCAAATATAATCGCAGGTTGTTTTGAGCACAGATATCTTAGCTATAAAAGTGTGTATAAATTCGTGAAAAAAAAAGAAAAAAGGGTGACTGGATCTCTAACCCAGACTAGAAACTTATCATCTGGGACACTGGACTTATTTCTACATTCTTTTCACTTTGGGTTTTAAAAGGAAACGGTGACTAACAATATGCAAAAGAATCCAATACAGGGTTCACTTTCTTTCAGAATAAATACATTAATTCAAGGCATCTCAATGGTAAGAGTGAAGTCTTTGTGACTATATCCATGTTTAGTGTTCCACTTACTCTAAAGCTTGTCTTAATTATGCTGCTTGCCCAGTAATGTTACTGTTTAGATTCTGTTATACCAAGATTCCAACATGTGGATGCAAAGACAGGTATACACAAATGATAAAGACCACAGCCATTATTGGTAATAGAGAAAACTTAGAAACAAGTGAGAACACCATTAAAAGGCTAATGGCTAAATATAAAGCAGTATTACACAACCACTAAAATCAAGGAAGGAGATCTCCATGTGCTGACATGGAAAGACACAAAGTGCCTAGAAGGGCTCTGGGGATGTGGTTCAATGGTATGGTATATACCTAGTATATGTGAGGCCCTGGGTGTGATCCCTAGCACTATGGGGGATAAAAACAGAAAAGAAAAAGGTGACTAAAAGAAACAGAACAGGAAAAAAAGAAGTATATGTTTATATGTATACAAATATATATTATCATCACAATGTCTGAAAGGACATAAACCAAACTACTGATATTGCTTACATCTGAGGCTTTTTTTTTCATTTTCTAAATTATATGACTATTACCATAAGTATGTATTACATTTTTGATGAGAAACAAATGAAGTCTCCTGTACTCCACAGGGTGGGAGATAGCACACAGTTTGCTGAGGCAGTATGCCCTGTGTGGCTCTGCAACACCAACTGTCTCCCAGGTAGTCTCAAGGTCTAGATTTGGATAAGAAGAATAGGAAGCATATATTTGGCCTTAACTCCCAAGTTTTAGACATAGGATACACAGGAAGCCCAACATTTACAGCTACGGGGCATCTGACTTGCCCATTGAGCAAGCAGAAATTGTAGCATGTTCACAAACAATGAGATACCAAGTCTGATGTATGTTCTACTTCCTTGCAATCCTACTCACCTCATCTACGCGCAAGTTTTTGAAATGCTGACCCTTACTCTCTAGCTGGAACTCTGACTCAACCTACTGCATGGTACCCAACGTAGCTACCTCAGCCTATGTATCAGCCCATGGGCCAGTTCCTGATGGATCATGCTTTCATAGCATCAGTGTTTGTCAGATGGTTAATATAGAAAGGTTAAATTCTGGGTACCTTCATATTCCTTGATGTCTAACTTACCAAAAAATTGTTTCATCAAAATGACTATCCATAACTTACCCACACTCAGCCTAATTCAGGATTACATAGCAAACTGAAATCTACTAGGGAACAGTTTCTAGGAAATGGCCAATACAACTAACAGCAGACAGACCAAGGAACTGAATAGGAACAATTCTCTAGATCAAACATAGAAAAACAAACTTACCCATATCATCATCAAATATAGATTTAGCTTCTACTTTCTTTTTGGACTTTTCTTTGGGTTTTACAGTTAGGTCAGCAAAGATATCAATGTTATCATCAAATAAGTTGGATTCCAAAGTTTTCTCCTTCTCTCTTTTTTTATGTGAGGGTTTAATTGCTTCTGTAGCAAATATATCATCCTTGTTAAACCAAAACAAACAAGCAAAACAATTTTAAATTAAAAAAATTTTTCTTGATAAAAATACTTCAACGCGGTACAGAAACACAAACTGTTTAGGGTGTTTGGGAATATTCCCTCTGCCTGGAATGCACTCCTCCACATGCCTTTCTCATTATTCTATCATTAAAACACCAGCCCTACAGTGAGGCCTTCTCCATTATTCTACATATTAAAACACCAGCCCTACACTGAGGCCTTCTCTACCTGTTCTACCTGAAGGACAGTCTCCTACCCCTACTCACCATTCTTCCCTAGTTTTATTCATGGTACTTTGTGCTATTTGAAAATATCTTAATTATCTCTTTCCCCATTTATATTTGTTTGCTCTCCCTGAGAGCTCTGAGGAACAGAGCACTTGTGGTCCTAGTTCACTCCACCTGCAGGACCCAAATGCTCAACAGATACCTATTGAGCAACAGCCACTGAAGGCCTTACTGCATGTGCCTTTGCTAAATTAGCAGGTCCAGTCAAGGCCTATTTCCTCAAAACCAAATGTTAAACATTCAAGCTACACCAATAGACTTCATATACGTCAGAGAGTGGTGTGTCAAGGAAGCTGACTATAGCAACGTTCTACAAAATTTAAAAAAAAAATCAAAACTATCAAAATCAAGACCTGGAAGCAAAGTGTGAAAGATGATATATCAAGAACTATGTAATGTTTTGAACAACCAACAATAAAAAAAAAAAATCAAGACCTGGGGTTGGGAGTGTTCCTCAGTGGTAGAATGCTTGCCCAGCATGTTAGAGGCTCTGGGTGTGATACCCAATACCACAAAATGAATCTAATGAACGAATGAATAAATGAATAAAATCAAGACTTTTATCAAGGATTATGACCAGCCAAAAAATACCCCTACATGCAGCAACACAACAACAACAACAATAAATCAAACACTTCTGTATAAATTTCAGTCATTAATAGGGAATCTTGGGCTGGGGTTGTGGCTCAGAGGTACAGCGCTCGCCTAGCATGTGTGAGCCCCTGGGTTCAACCCTCAGCACCACATAAAAATAAAATAAAGATATTGTGTCCACCTACAACTAAAAAATAAATGTTTAAAAAAAATAGGGATTCCTAATTATAACCATTAAGTAAATATCAGGTGTCTACAAAACTAGCTTAATGTAATAGATAGCACAAATGAGTCAATCAGTTGTTTTTCTTAACAGAGAAATAAGTACGAAATATTTTACTACCTCAAAAATATCTTCTGTTTTTGACATGACATCCTGATGGCTATTAGATTTTGATTCACTCTTCTTGCCTTTCTTATCTGTAAAGAGATCATCCTCATCTTCCAAGAGGGGAAAGGGATTTGCTTTCTTTACTGGTCTTGGTTTAACAGACTGAAAGAGATCATCATCACTGCTGGCTTCACCGAGTACAGGAAACAGGGGGCTTTTTTCTTTACTCCCTGCTGGTGGGTGGGCCATGGTCTCTGATGCCTTCCCCTTGGCTTTTGATCTCTCCATGGACTGAGATCCTGGGCCCCTGGAAAAGATGTCCCCAGAATCAAACAGGTCAGCTTCGCCTCTGGACTGACCCAGGGACTTTGCAAAGGGGCTTCTGTCCATTGCAGGAACAGGACTATTTTCCCAAGGTGGAGCAGCAGCAGCAGCAGCTGCCTCCTGAAAGACCTCTCCACTGGCTGCTCTAGGCTGAGGTTGCCAGCCATTTGGTGAAATGGCACCATCTGCCAATTGTGCAAGGGGTCCTCTGGGTAGACTCATGTCCTCAGCCTCACTGGACTCCTGGGCAGCCAGCCGCCTGGCTGCACGGGTCTGTGGTCTGCGCTTCCCTCTCACTTTGACACGGCTCTGCAATTGGATGAAAAAAAAAATCACATGCTGATCTGATGATAAAGTAAAAATTATTAAAAGCTAACATAGCAAAGAAATCAGTAGCATGAAGTACTGTAAGGTTATCTGGTCTCTATCAATCATTATCTGAAATACAAAAGAAGTTATTTCTTAAAGATTTCCAAAGGAGTTTGCTAGCGTACTTCATTTTTGAGGCTTTTGAGGGCAGTTTATGGTGCAGTTTCAGTGTCTGCTGGGACCTCAGAATGTAGGCAGATTGATGTTCTATGACTCACAACCCTCACAGGCATTCTTCTTTTCTCTATTCAAATGTGGGCACCTTTCAAAACAAGATAGCATTGGGAGATTCTGGAACCAAGCTTTATTAGGTGCTAATCTAAATTAGGCTTCAGGAGCAAAGAGGAATGACACAATAAGGAAAGAGAGGTAACCTGAGGTTCTGTTTTCTTCAAGCCAACAAACACTAAATTCAAATATTAAAAAAAATGGTTCTGAAACCAGAGCCCTTAATATAACATTGAAACATTAGTCTCTCAATAGCTATGATTTAATATTTGTGATATGTTCCAAAATATACAATCCAGTCAAGTTTTAGAGAGTACAACCTATTTGGGGCAAAGTACTTGACTGTACCTGCCTACTTCTAGGAAATTTCATGAATAATTTCAAGAAGTAGTTAATTTAAACTTAACCACCACCAAAAAAAGACTAATAAAAATTACAATAAAATGATATTTTACTTTATAAAAAATAGATCTGTAAACACTTAAAATGAATGTATTTGCTAAGGTTAAATCATTCTAGGTCTTATCACTTTAAAGATCAGCTAAGATTTCAAGAGAAGGGAGTCTAGTTAGAAAAAAGAAAAACCTTTAAAATAGAAGGAAAAGCTCCAAGAGTTCAGAGTTTATCAGAGATTCTGCGAAACAGTGTGACAGGTTTTTTACTTGAGGAGGAATTGCCATGATTTGCAAAAGGAGCCCAGGACATGGGGATGGGAGGGGAAAGCAACAGAAGTTAGAGGTGTGAGTGGAGGTACAGGTGGGGAAGAACATTCCAGGTGAGGAAGCAGCATGACTGGTGGGCAGCAGCAGGACGAAGTTTGTGTACTCAGGGAATGGAGCCTAGTGTTTGGAGTTCAGGCTGCAGTGTGGGGAGATTGATGGGAAAGCTGGAGGCATGGCTTGGCATCACCTGTAAAGGGGCTTTCATACCAAACTAGAAGCTAGAATGTTCTCCTCTGCACAGTGAGAAGCCCACAGATGGCAGATACCAAATGAGATAGGGGGAAACTTCATTGTGGCTACCATGTAATGTAAATGGAACAAAAGCAGACAATGAAAAAGCAGAAGCAGAATTAGGGAGGTGGAGAAAAGTAGGAGGGGCTGAAGCAAGGATGAGGAATTAATTGTGGAATCTTCAATGTGGAATTAAAGAGGCATTTCTATCAATGAACTAGAAAGAAGCATCCAAATTATTCTGGCTAAAGGAAAGCAAGCAAGCAAAGATGTTTTCTTCACCTTGTTTGCACTGTGTAAGGTGTCTGCCTGAGCTGGAAGATCGAAACTCACACCAGCCTCTGCACTGCCAGGAAGCATACTTTCCAGACCGTGGCTCCTTCCAGGTTCAGATGAAGGAAAAGCCAATTCTGGTGAAACAGGTTTTGCTCCCAAGATCTGGGGAACCGCTGAAGGCAGCAAGGCTGCTGGGTTAATTGTTAAATTTGCCTAAAGAAGAAAAATGAAACTCAGTATTTATTCTTTAACACATTAGTCTCTTACTATTTCTGTGACATGATGAGATTCGGTGTACACAATGTAGAATACAAGAGGAGAAAAAAAATGTAGGAAAATCACCTGATCTAGTCTTAGAATTAGAACAGGGGGTCACACACCTGTGCCCACCACTGTGATCAAAGAAAAGACGTTAAAGACAGAGCACACAAGAAGCAACAACTAGGTGGAATTGGGGGTGTGGCTGGAGTGGGGGGAAAGATGAGGAAATGCTTGGCAGCAGCTGAAAAAAGTGAAAATTCAAACAAGGTTTATAGATGCCACAAGGTAGGCAATGAAGATTCCAGATGTGTTATAATTACTTGTATTTTCCCGATCCGAGTGGATGGTTCTTTGGTTTTAAATGGAACGAGACCTGACGAATCCTGTATGAAATTACATTCAGTTAAAAATCCATTGGGGAAAGAGGAAGCAAAGTGTCTCAGGGATTACAGTCACGCCTGTACATAAATCTGTGATAGAGCAAAGCTGTCACTCTCCATATCATTCATTCAAATCCCTCCCAGGGCCTCAAAATCTTTGCTACCCTTACTTCACCTGTGCCCCCTCCTCTGGCATGTAGGTGGAAAGGCTCAGATCATACATGAAGAAGAGGGAGACACAGATGAGGAATAAGATTTGCAAGAGCTGTAGTCTGTCAGAACAGTAAAGCCTGATCAGCTGGCACCATTGACCTGCTGGCTATCCACCACAGTGGCATAGAGGAGCACACTGAACCTCTCCCCCAACCTGACACCACTTCTAACACTAAAGAATAGGAGTTTGGGGGTGAGTGAGTAGAGATGTGCTAGTCCAAGTGCCTCCCTTTCTGAGCTCAAGACAGAGGCCTCAGTGACATCCAGGGACACACTCCAGGCAGACTTTTGGCCTATTCTCAGAAGAAGCTCCTCAGAATTCTGAGAGGATTGCTGATGAGAAAGTCTAACAACAGCCTTCGCAGAAATGTTGACACTTAGAAGAAACTAATAAATCACATGTGATTTATATTAACTCAAATTTCATTCTATCCCAGAGGAGAAATGGGGTCTCTAGTGGGGAAAAAAGTTCTTCACCCTAACTTAATTCCATCCTGGAACTAAATTTGGAATGGAGTCAAAAAATAATAATGATTAAGTACAGAATCATGAAATTCCAGAGTAGAAAGGGAGAATAGAGATGAAAGGGGGTAAAAGAACAGAGTGGGGGAAAAAAGAAAGGTCCTTTTGCTATTTCCTCAACTAAGAGAACTCTGAGTAACTCTGGGTCTGCATTATGGAATTAGTCTGTACTGGGATGCAAATAAAAGCTGCAGGTCCTTACAGAGGTCAGTTCTAACCTGTGATGTTTCTGGTTTCCATATGCTTTTTTCTTTGCTACCTTGAGATGACTCTGGATGTTTTTGGTTCTTGAGAGAGGAAACAGAGTGGTCTTTTTTCACTACCCTCTTTTTTTCTGGTACCTTCAAAAGAAAAAGAATATCAAAGTCTGTCATGTATCAAATTTTAAAGTAAAATCATAATGTAAAAAAGGAACCTGGCTTCTGGGTTTTATAAGTCCCTTGAAAATGAAGTTGAACTAGGTAAAAGTAAAATAGCATTTTAAAGATGTCCTAGGGCTGGGGATATAGCTCAGTGGTAGAGTATTTGCTTAGCATGTATTCAATTCCCAGCATCACCAAAAAAAAAAAAAAACTGTTTTTTTGCAGGAGTCCTCTCTATGATAAAAAGAAAATAGTATATAAAAAACTGAGTGGGACAGAGGGAAAAAAAAAATAACACACAGATTTAAAATTTTCTCTCTAAAAGGCCCAAAAATGCAGTCACCATATTGTATGTAATGACCATTTAAAAAATCAAAGACACTTTTAATACAGTCAGAGGGTCTGGGTCAGTTAATGTTCTAATATTATTAGTTAGGGAACAATGTAATTTTCCTTCATCCTATAACTGGATATAGTTTCCTCTCCCACACTCCCCAACACTGAGAACAAAAGGTTGGTACCACAGGCTGGGTCTTAGCAGAGCTGAAAAGATCATCGTCTTCATCATCACCAAACAGGCTCCCAGTGCTTGGCTTTGACAACTACAATAGACAACATTTAGATTCAATATCCAAAAGAAAAGAAAAATAATTTACAAACAGAGCTCAGTGAGCCAGTGAGAGACTATCTAACACAATAACAAACATATAATGTAGGGACCCACTGGAAACTAACCTTCGTTTTTTTGGTGCCAGCAAAAAGGTCAACATCTGGGTCATTGTCCTTTTGGAGCTTGTGACTAAAGAGGAGCTCTTCGTCCTGAAACACACCTGTGCTCTTGGGGCGGGCATCAGGATCTTGACCCTGGGAGAAAGAGAGAAGATCACACGTTATTAGATTTCTTTCTTTCTTTTTTTTTTTCCTTTTTTTTTTTGTTCTAATTTGATATACATGACAGCAGAATCCATTACAATTCATATTACACATATAGAGCACAATTTTTCATATCTCTGATTGTACATAAAGTATATTCACACCATTTGTGTCTTCTTACACGTACTTAGGGTAATGATGTCCATCTCATTCCACCATCATTTCTAACCCATGCCCCCCCTTCCCCTCCCACCACTCTGCCCTATCTAGAGTTCATTTATTCCTCCCATGCTCCCACTCCCAACCCCACTATGAATCAGCCTCCTTATATCAGAGAAAACATTCGCCTTTTGGTTTTTAGGGATTGGCTAACTTCACTTAGCATTATCTTCTCTAACTCCATCCATTTATCTGCAAATGCCATGATTTTATTCTTATTGCTGAGTAATATTCTGTTGTGTATATATACCACAGTTTCTTTACTCATTCATCTATTGAGGGGCATCTAGGTTGGTTCCATAATTTTGCTATTGTGAATTGTGCTGTTATAAACATTGATGTGGCTATGTCCCTGTAGCATGCTGTTTTTAAAAACTTTGGGTATAGACCAAGGAGTGGGATAGCTGGGTCAAACGGCGGTTCCAATGTGATTAGATTTCTAAGGATTTATTAAGCAAAAGTCACAAGTACCAAGATGGACACAAGAAAGGTGTCCCCTGCAGTTCTGCTTATACTGGCAAAAGGTTGAAGCAATTTATTCACATAATAGAATACTGAAGAGCTATCAAAAATAGGGGAAAGTAAATTTATGAATACAGAAAACATAATCTAGAAAGATCATCTTTCAACCCTTGTGTGGTATCTGAGCATTTATTTTTTAAAAAATCCATGAGTTCCATGAGAAACATTTTGGAATACAAACAAAATTAAATGAGTTCTCATTCCTAAAAGGAACAACAGGCACCAGTGACTTAATCCCAAAAACCAGAGTGGATCAAGCATGTATCCCTAGTCCACAGACATGGCACAGGCATGACCAGCAAGCCATCTCCTAAGCCTTCCATCCCGCTACCTTCAGACTCCATAAAAGTTATTTTTTGTTTGCTAGGATAACAGACATTTAAAAATTACTGTTCACATTACTTGGTTTGAAGATATCATGCTTCAGATCTGACATTCTAAAATTCATCCCTATTCATTATTATGACAGCCTAAACAAACAAAAGATTAAGAACAAAACCCCACTTCTGAACAAATTAAATTACATTGTTAACTAATGATTAATTATTATTAATATATAAGAACCAGTTTAGAACAGAAGGAAGATGGCCGCTGCGTACGGGGGTTGCTGAAGTGCTGAGCGTGGTGCTCAAAGCAGCGGCTTTAATAGAGATTTCGCACAGTCTGTTAAAGCTCCTTTCACTGTTAATCTGTAGTGGACCACTTTGCCAAGGAGCAGGAAGAACAAAGAAATCGAAAAAGAGACGCTTGGCTGCTCAGAGCCGCGGGCGCTTTGCTCCCATCTGCTTCCTCTTTCGCTTCGCTCCGGGTGGAGAAGCTGAATGTGTAATCAGCAGTGGATTGTAAGTACCCGAGGCAAAGAAAGCTCAGTGCGCCCCGCCTTTTTTTTTTTTTCTTTTTTTTTTGAATATTTTTTATACAGGGAGAGTTTGTGGATTGGGATTGCTGGCGGGGCTGTGGTTTCTGTGCCGAAAATCCACTCCGCGGGAGCCGCCATTTGCTTTCTGCTTGCCGTCTTGATGGCTCTGTATACACTGTCCGGCAGCCGCACCTAGAGGTTGGAGCTGGGCTGCGTGCCGAGCCCTGTCCTCCGAAGGCTGGACTGCAGCCTCGAGCGTCTCTGTGGCCTGTTCGCCGCTGCACCTTCGGGCAGAGCCTGCTCTGGGGTCGTTCTGCACCCCCCTGCCAGGGGACCCGTGCTCCGGAGGAGGGGGACGGAGAGCCGCGGCGGCAGCCGCTTGGGCCCCTGGGGCCTGGCACCGGGCTGAAGAGCTGCGGAGGCCAGGGCGGCTCTGCTACGGTCGCAGACAAGCGCGGACGCTCGTCAGCGCGGCCCAGAGTTTCATTTCTAGAAATCTGGACTGGAAACAGAAGCAGCAGTTTGTATAATCCCAAGAACTTGCTTATACCAGGAAGCTGTAAGGGCAACATGAATATCACTGAGGAGATGTAACATGGTGGCAGGCGCAGAGAGATCAAGTCTCTGACATCTTCAACTGCGCGGGCATAGGGAGCCGTAAACTGTCTAAATGCTGTTTGCTCAGGATCACTAGGCAATGCTGAGCTGACGTGGATCTGGGGTGTACAGGCTGGGCCCCTCAGAACACACACACAGAGCCCGAATCGGAGGCAATTAAGCTCCGGTTCGCCTGCTTCGTGTGACTCAGCACTAACGATCCCGCTGAAATAATTGGTCGGCCCTTAGGAACTTACAGAGGTAAAAGCCAACCGAGCCTTCATAGGCAGTGGCCACAGGACTGAAACGGGGATTGGGAGAGACAGTCAGGACCCACCCGTTGCATTGGTCATCCGGCAAAGGGAACAAACGGTCACCATTTGCATGGGATATCACCATGGCAGAGAAATGGCGTCACGGGCGGAGGAGATAACTGCATTGAAACCAGCGCGACAGGTGTGTAATCCCCTAGCCATCTCTCTCCACACAGCGGGGAAACCTTAAGGGCCACTCCCAGCTCTCCTGTGAACGCAATAACCAGACCGAGGGAATCAGGAGTGGCGCGGGACTCGCGGCGCGGAACTCCCGGCTACCGCTCCCACCAGTGCTGACAACTGAGGTCTCTTGCACCAGCTACCGGGGGCGTGGCTACAGGAGGGCAAGCAAATTCGCTGGGGGATCTCAGCCCCAAGCTCTACAAACTTAGGGTCTGAGGGAGGCAAACAGGGAGAGTGAGCCCAGGTGTTCATGAAAACAGGGCTCCCAGGAGCAGCAGACCTGGCGTGTAGCCAGTATTGTGGTAAGCGCCACAGGTGAGCACGGCCTGGCTTGAGGAAACACAAGACAAGGCCCTAGACACTCAGGATTGGAGACCCGCCCAGTCTAGGAGAAAGAGCTGCTGCACAGTGAATGGTTCCCACCTATTGAGAGGAGAAGCTTGGCCCAGTGGGCACAGCTCCACCTACTGGAAGAGAAGTTAATAGAACTCTAGGACTGCATTTATTATTATTATCATTTTTTTTCTTTTCTTTTTCTTTTTTTTCTTCTTTTTCTTTCATTTTCAATTTTTATTTGTTGTTGTTCTTTAATTTTTTTTCAATGTTTCTATTTTTTAAATTTTTTTTATTTTATTATTTTTTTTTTAATTTTAATTTTCATTTTTTATTATCACTATTATTTTTGTTAAAATTTTTTTTTTCGTCTTTTCTTTCTTTCTTTATTATCTAATCTTTGTTATTCTTGTTTCTTTTGTCTTTTCATTTCTTTTCAATCTTCTTATTCCCCCTTCCTTGAATTGTACCTGCCTACTCTCATTCTCTTTAGTGACTTCTTCCCTTCCCTTCTAATATCTTTCCTCTCAAGCATCAAATAAATCTATAAGAGTAAACAGTAACTCAGCAGTCAAACAGAACAAGAAGTAACATGAGCAGCATAAAAAAGCAAGGAAGAAAAGGAGTACAAACAATGAAGGACAGCCTAAATATTCAGGAGGACCTAGAGTCAGCAGAAAAATGGTCATATAAAGAACTCAAGGAACACCTTAGACAGATGGAATGGAACCTTAAAGAGGATACGAGACAGCAAATCCAAACAGTGAAAGAACACTTTGAAAATGAATTACATAGACAGATAAAAGAAGAAGTTAAGCATCTTTATCAGGAGATTGAGATTATAAAAAAAACCAAACAATAATTCTAGAAATGAAGGAAACGATAAACCAAATTAAAAACTCAATTGAGAGTATCACTAACAGAGTGGAGCAAGTAGAAGCCAGAACATCAGATAATGAAGACAAAATATTTCATCTTGAAAAGAGCCTAGCCAACTCAGAAAGGCTGGTTAAAAACCACGAGAAAAACATCCAAGAGATATGGGATAACATAAAGAAACCAAACCTACGAGTCATCGGGATAGAAGAAGGTACAGAGATTCAAACCAAGGGAATGAGGAACCTGCTGAAAGAAATAATTACAGAAAACTTTCCAGAAATAAAAAAGGAAACGGATATACAAATTGTAGATGCATACAGGACACCGAGCACACAAAATCACAGTAGACCAACGCCAAGACACATTGTTATGAAGATATCCAATATACAGAACAAAGAGAAAATACTAAAAGCTGCAAGAGAAAGGAGGCAGATTACATTCAGGGGTAAACCAATAAGGTTAACAACGGATTTTTCATCACAGACGCTGAAAGCGAGAAGATCCTGGAACAACGTATTTCAAACACTGAAAGACAATGGATGCCAACCAAGAATTCTGTATCCAGCAAAATTAAGCTTCAGGTACGATAACGAAATAAAAATCTTTCATGATAAACAAAAGCTAAAAGAATTTGCAGCCAGAAAACCAGCATTGCAAAGCATCTTGAGCAAAACACTACACGAGGAAGAAATGAAAAACAATAACCAAAACCATCAGTGGGAAGTGCCTCTATAAAGACAGAGGGCGGGGGGAAAGCTAACCATGGAGAAACAAACTAAATTTAAAAAAAAAAAAAAAAAGAAGATAAATAATCAAACATGGCTGGAAGTACAAACCATATATCAATAGTAACTCTAAACATTAATGGCTTAAACTCTCCAATAAAGCGACATAGGCTGGTAACATGGATTAAAAAAACAAATCCAACAATATGCTGCCTCCAGGAGACACATCTGATTGGAAAAGACATACACAGGCTGAAGGTGAAAGGTTGGGAAAAAATATACCATGCACACGGTCCTCGTAAGCAAGCAGGGGTGGCCATCCTCATATCGAATAAAATTGACTTCAAGACTAAATTAATC